CTTTTTTTTTTAGAAAAAAAGGGACATCGACTTAATACACACTCCCCCTTATACTACGATCCTCAGCCTCCAGCTTCTCAAGAGTCTCACCATCGCCTTCAAACTCGGAATCATGACCCGTCTCCATGCCTCCCGGTCTCGTGACTTCCTTGTCGCCGCCGCCAAGGGGGGGGACGACGGTGGCGGTGGCGGTGGCGGTGGCGGTGACCGCAGCAGCACCGGCGCTCTCGACACTCTTCGGGTCCTTTTCCAGCCTGTGCTGCAGGGACTTGGCGTTTGCGATGCGGATGCGCGTATTCAGCGAAGCGACGCGGTGGTTGTGGTGGACGTGGGCGTTTGTAGGTTTCTGCTTGTGGTGGTGCTCGGCGCCGTTGTCGTCGTCGCCGTCGTCATCCGAGGCCTCGGTGTCGCTGCCGCCCGATGAGCCGCGACCAGAGTAGCTGCCACCAAAGTCACGACCGACATGGAGCAGGGTCATGCTGGTATTGTTGGCGTTGTCGTCGTCGTTGTTGTTCGGGCAGCCGGCGACGGCGGCTTTGGCATGACCGCCCGTGGCGGAGCTGGTGGCATTGTCGTCCTCGTCTGCGTCGTGGCCCTCCGTGTCGTCGCCGATGACGTTGAGGGAGTGGTAGTGCTGGGCGTGGCCGGCCGACGGGCTGTCGGGGGGGAAGTCGGGCGAGGAGAGGATCGGTTCGCCGCCGGCGTCGAACTTGGGCTTGATCGCCTGCTGGGAGATGTCGGCCGGACGAGGTTTGGAGTGGTGGTTGTGGTTGTGGTGGTGGTAGCTGTGGTGGTGACGGTCCTCGGAGGCGGATGATGAGTCGGCGCCGCCCTCGTCGGAGCTGATGCCGTTGGCCGGCGGTGTCTTCCTGCTCGAGGCGGTCGTCGTGGCCGTGGCCGGGGAGGCGGCCACGGCGGCGGCTGCATGCTCCGTGTCCTTTTGGCGGAGGAGCTCGAGGTCGTCTCGCTTGCTGATGTGGTGGCGGCTGTGGTTGCATCCGTTAGGGCAGCCACCCCACTGCCGGGGCAGGTGGATGGTCCTCTGGCGCACGGGTCTGCGCGGGTTGGGAGACGGGCCCGCCGGCACCAGGCCGTTAGCATCCCTGTCCTTGTCCTTGTCCTTGTCCTTGGCGTCGGCATTGTTGCTGGTGCTGGTGCTGGTGCCGGCGCTGGTGCCGGCGCTGGTGCTGGTGCCGGTGCTGGTGCCGGTGCCGGTGCTGGGGGTGGCAGAGGCGGCGGTGGCGGCGGCTTCGCGGAGGGCGCGCTCGCGACGCAGATCGGACCAGGTGCGCAGGTTGTTCTCGAGAAAGTACTTGCCGTTGTCCTGCTTGCGCATGATGAGGAACTCGCAGTGGTTGACGTTACGCAGGTCCTCAAAGTACTCGACGGTGAAGTGATACCACTTCATGAGGAAGACGCGCGACATGAGGCCGTGGGTGACGAGGACGCAGACGCTGGCGAAGTCGTCCTCGCCAAACTGGCGCCATAGGCTCTCGTTGAAGCCGCTGACGCGGTCGTAGGCGTCGGCGGCGCTCTCGCCGTTGGGGATGCGGTAGAAGAAGTGGCCGTAGTCGGCGCGCTCCTGCCACATGCGCTCCATCTCGGCGCTGCAGGGTTGGAAGTTCCCAAAGTCCTGCTCGCGCAGCCTCGGCTCCTCGTAGACCTTGATGTTGGAGCGGCGAAAGGGTGAGGGGCCCGGCTCATCTGACGTCAGGGTGCTCAGCATGCCCTCGGTCGTCTCTCGGGTGCGGCGGTAAGGTGAGGTGAAGAAGTGGATCTTGTCGTCTGGTCGGAGGAGGCCTCGCAGCCGCCGTCCGGCCTCGTACGCCTGGCTCCAGCCATCTTGTGTCAACTTGACTCGGTGGTCGGGGACCGTCTGATGGATATCACGGTTCTCTGTTGTGATTTTTTGGTCAGCGCATATGTTCTCCAAGGAGTAGAGACCCCCAGGGGTCTTGTGCGGAAGGGAAAAGAGAGAGGGGGGGGGGAGTCGAGAACTCACTGTTTCCCTCTGACTGAGCATGACGGACGAGGATGATTAATCTAGGCTTGGCCATGGTTGACGTCCTGTCTCTGGCGTCCTGTCTCTTAGACTCCTAGACTTCTTGGAGCCCGTGAGGTGGGGTGAGGTTGGAGAGGGCGGGGTGGGACTACCTCTCTGATGGGGGAAAGAGAAGGTAAGCGGTGGTGGGGTATCAGATGTCAAAGTGTGAATGATGATTGACAGCAGTAGCGAAAGAGCGAGGAAGTGATGTGATGAATAATATGGGAATAGAGAGAGAGAGAGAGATAGAGAGATAGAGATGTGGAACGGGAAGGAGTTTGGGGGGTGGGGGGAGGGGGAAGCAGAGAGAGAAAAGAGTCAAGTCGGATGGATGGATGGATGGATGGATGGAGGAGGAGGAGGGGGGAAAAAAGACAAGGAAAAGAAGGGACCAAAGAGAGGCGCCCACTCCACTGACACAACCGCTGCATAGGCGCCGTTTCATCATGTGCAGTGTTACGAGAGCCGAGTGCGTGCAGTACTACATGATGAATGCCGTGTTTTTCTTTTCCCTGCATATTCTTTCTTGGCTAGTATTGCCATTCCTGTCACGGAGGATAATCTCCTCTTCTCTTGTTTCTCTGTTTTCCTTAATATTCATCTGCGTGACAGTGACAGGTATGGATTGTCTGGATGGTGTCTACATCGTATAGTCTTACTCCGTACTTGTGCTAATATCTCGACCCGGGATTTGTGGGGAACAGCCAGAAACTTCTCTCTTCTCTCTCCCTCTCCCTCTCCCTCTCCTCATACACCACCACCCTTCCCAATCATCCACCATCCTCCCACGCCCACGTCCGCGCCCACGCACACCGAACTCATCGTCAAAAGTCCCCCAACACAATGTCCGGCGAAGGCCCCGAGTCAATCCCCACGTCCGCGGACCGCCGCTCCCACCGTCCGACCAAGAAGCGCGCCCTGACACCGCTATCCGCCCAAGCCGCCTCTCTAGACGCCCTGTTCGCCAAGCCGGACCAGGAGATCCGCATCCCGCCATCTTCCAGCGGCGGTGCCGCCACCGCGGTGGGCGGTTTCCGACGTCCGCCCCCGCCGGAAGTCGTGACCAACGTCCAGGGGTCCAGCGCCGGTGCCGGCAGCGGCGAGTTCCACGTCTACAAGGCCGCGCGCAGGCGGGAGTATGAGCGCCTGCGAGAGATGGACAACGAGGTGCTGCGCGAGAAGGAGGCCGCCGAGTTCGAGCGCAGGAGGGACGAGATGGAGCGCAGGGACGAGGAGAAGACGCGCAAGAATCGCGAGAAGAGGGAGAGGATGAAGGCTAGGAAGCAGAAGGGGGGGGGTGGCAGTAAGAAGACACAGCAGCAGCCATCGGACAAGGACAGGACGACGGCCACGACGGCCACGACGGCCACGACGACCGGCCCCAACGGAGGAGCCGAGCCGATACAGTCGCCAGGACCAGCAGCAGACGTTGCAGCCGCAGCATCAGAACTGGCAACACAACCTAAGAGAGAAAGAGATTCTGCCGAGTCGACGGGCCAGAAAGACGACAAGACGGATGAGCATGATGCCTCTCCCGTGAAACCTGCTACCGGCCTCATCATCCACGACGATGACTAGACCGGTCGACAGATGGGAAGGGAAACTGTAAGAGAAGGGGGGGGGGGGGGTTGTTACTGTTGTATTATAGTGAAGTTGAACTTGATACCCGGGGCAGAGAGAAGTCACATCGTCAACCCTGCCGCCATTAATGTTAATAAAAATATGGGAAGAAAACACGCAGCACTCGGAGCACGTCTACAGATTGTGTTTTGGATATCCTTTAACTCCTTTTTTTGTTCTTGGTTGTAGGTGTGTCTACATGTATCTCCGTTCTTTTTTTTTGGGTAACCTTCCTCTCGCCGTGGGGAGTGAGAGGAAGACGCAAGAGGGTCGGTCAGTGGCTTGATTATAAGAGTGTTGTTGCCGTGTGAAAGCAGACGATTGAAATACAGCGGTCATGTTGACCCCCCCCCCTGGTGCCTCTCCTCTTTTGTTTTCTTCTCTCTTCTCGCCGCCAAGGTTCGAAATGACAAGGACACACGTGGCATTTCATACCCGCTGGTGTCGTTACTCATCGCCCTGACCGGTTCCCGGTGCGTATCCGGGCTGGCCCTTCTTGGCGCTGCAGATGTCGTCGACGCGCAGGAGAAGGCAGGCTGCCTCGATGGCCGTCTTGATGCTCTGAAGCTTGATGGCCTCAGGCTCCCACACGCCGTACTCCTTCATGTCGACGATGGCGCCCGAGTCGCCGTCGATGCCCCACGAGCTGTTGCCCTCGGCCTGCTTGGCCCGCAGCTCCGTCAGCACGCGCACGGGGCTCTTTCCCGCGTTCTGGACCAGCGTGCGGGGGATCACCTCGAGCGCCTCGGCCACGGCGCGGTACGGCCACTGCTGCACGCCCTCGATACTCTTGGCCAGCTGGGACAGGCGCACCGACACGGCCATCTCGGTGGCACCGCCGCCGGGCGACAGGCGGGGGTGGAACATGACGTTGCGCGCCACGCCCATGGCGTCGTGCAGGTTGCGCTCGATCTCGTTGAGGACGTCCTTGGACGGGCCGCGCAGCAGGATGGTGCACGCCTTGGGGTCCTTGCACTTTGTGAGGAAGGTGAAGTACTCGTCGCCGATCTTGTCAATCTCAAACAGGCCGCATCCGGTACCCACGTCGGACTCCTGGAGGTCGGCCACGCGGTTCACAATCGTCGCCCCCGTCGCGCGGGCGATCCTGTTGTTGTCCGTCTTGCGCACACGACGCAGGGCTGTGATGTTGGCCTTCATGAAGAAGTGCTGAGCAATGTCTGTCGAGAAGAACACGTCAGTATATATCAAGCATGGGCAAGAGCAATGTGAAGAGAGAGAAATACGGATTACGATGGTGAACATTGATTCAAGGATGGGCGAACATACCCGAAACACCCTTCTCGGTAATGACAAGGTCAGGCTTGACGGCAATGATGGCATCACACATGGCCTTGACCTGCTCTTCCTCAATCTGCAGGACGCGGTTCCAGTCGTCCTCCTTGGAGATCTCGATGTTGGTCTGCGACTCGCCCTTCTTGTACTCGAGCGTGCAGTCCAGCAACACGATGCGCGGGTTCTCGATGCGCCGGCGCATCTTGGGGTGGGTAATGTCCTTGTTGACCATGACACCGTCGAGAACCGTACTGTCCTCGATCTGGCCTCCGGGGACCTTTTCGATACGGGCGTAGCGCTTGACGTCGACCTCGGTCTTGCCGTTCCCGGCCTCCCAGGTGACTGTCCGGACGGCCTTGAGGGCCAGCGAGCACATCTGGTCCATCCACCTCGAGACGAACTTGGTGCCGATGGAGGACGAGATGAGCTTGGCCATCGCTTCGTCGTCGTTGACGTCGATGGGGTTGGAGATCTCGTCAATGATATCGACGGCATCCTTGAGGGCGCGCTTAAAGGCCGAGATGATGACGACGGGGTGGATGTTGCGCTCGAGCTGGGGGAGGGCGTGTGCGAGAATCTCGCCGGCTATGCGTATACGCCAGTCCATGGTCAGTGACTTTTCCTCTCTTCTGCCGCTTCCAGAATAAGCACAGGGAAAGGACAGGGAAAACCAACCCATGATGATGACCGAGGTTGTACCATCACCCACCTCCTCGTCTTGTGTCCGGCTCAGCTCAATCATGCTCTTGGCCGCAGGGTGCGAGACTTCGATCTCTCGGAGGATGGCATGTCCATCGTTTGTCAGCACGATACCGCCCATGGGGTCGAGGAGCATCTTGAGCATGGCCTTGGGGCCAAGGCAGGATCGGATTATGTCGGCAACACTGTCTCGCCCCCTCATCGGCATTGGTGGTCAGCGAGAGAAGCTCTTGGATACATCCGCCAGGCAGGCACCAGCCCGCGGCGGTGACGACAAAGAGAGAGGGGCAGAAGAGGGAGTCAACATACGTCTTGGCCGCAGCAATATTGGACATTTGAGCTTTACGGCCGACCTGTCTATCACCACTGTTGGTGTCTGTTCCATTCTCGTCAGCTTACCGGTCTTTTTCTTCTTCTTTTCGTCTGAGGGGGGGGGAAGGGTTGGAAGCGTCGTCCGGACAGCTCCTTAGTGGTGGGGGGGAGCAAAGGGGATAGGTGGGTTGGCGCACTCATAACCAGCACGGGAGCCTGCATGATGGGCAGATATTCCGGCTGTATAATGGGAATGAGAAGAGAGGATAAGGATGAAGCAACAGATCCGAGATGCAAAACCTAGCTCTGTTTCTGGAAAAGGGGAGGGGAGAGAGTTTTGCACTGGGCTTTCGTGGTCGGTTTGGAGGGGCGCACACACACACACACACACAGGACAGGCACCAAAAAAGTTGCCCATGATGGTGGTTCTGATTTTGGCGGGGCGGTCCCCCAAATCCCGGCAGATTGTTTGTCCTTGTTCCGTGACATCCTCTCCACCACAGCATAGCTTAGCTCTGATACCGGCAGTATTATTGCAACTCAGTAGAGGACCGACCGCCAACCCCGTCCTTGACGACATGCCCCTGGACATTCTCGACATCGTCTGCGAATACGTAGCAGCGTGTGACGCTGGCAGACGCAGTTCGTCCCCCACAGTCATAGTGTGCAGGTCCATCTCAGGTGCTGCAGACACAGTGCGGTTCCGCCAGCTCCGTATCAGGGTTCGCAGCGTGGAGCAGATGCACCGCATCACGTCAGCCGAGATCCAGGAGCTGGACAGCAAGCTCACGAAGGTCGGGGATCTTGAGATTTCCATGCCCCATCCGTGCGGTGACAGAGTACGAGACGGATATCGCAAGGCGCTGGGCGGCCTGACGCGGCTCAAGACGCCACCTCAACTATCACCTCAAGACGCCCGATCCAGACCACGGTGCCGGCGACTACACGCGCATCCACCACAGCGAGCTACTCAACCAAGGTTAGCAAGGACGAAGAGGAAACCGTCTTCGAGCCTCCTGTTGCAAGAACCTACAAGGCCGAGGAGCTGGACCTGGACGTGTCCCTCACACGCAACACATTCAGGAACTGAGCCACGGACTGCACCCCCCCCCCTGGGGCCATCTCGGAGGCGGTCGAGAGTGGCGGCAGCTTGCGCCTACGGTCTCTGCGCATCGGTCCATCGGGATGGGTCCCCCACCGGCAGCTGCGAACCAGCAGATTCCTCGGCTGGCCAGGGAGGTACTAGGAGGTCCGCCGGGAGCAGATGTCGACGCCGAGTCAGAGATTCGCGTCGAACGGGCTCCCGGTGACGTACGAGAAGAAGGTCGGCTCCGACAGGCGCAATCGGCTACTATGAAGCACAGGCAGGGGAGAAGTCTTCTATCTCTCGAACAATCCCCCGACCGAACTGGGCAGGGCCGTTCTACGCCATGCAGCTCTGCGTCTTTCGAGAAGCTTGGTGTAGCCTGCGGCCGCCGCCGCCGAAGAGATGGACTGGCGGCTCTACCAGACCGACACTTCCCTCTTTACGGACAATCACGAGAAGCTCGGGAAGAAAGCGATGGTGGTGAGGGACAAGCTGTGTATCCCATCGAAATCTTCCGGTCCATCGTGATACCATCTACCGTAGCAACTGATGCCCCCCTTTCTTTTTTTTCTTTCATCCGAATGTCTTTCCTTTCCACATCTAAGCGTTGCTTTCCATCTCTAAGCACTATTACCTCGTCCCCCCCCCTTTTTTTGGAACTGCCATGGTAATCTGCACTGACATGTTGTACAGAATATACAATCGTGCCCATCCATGCTGCAAGAAGGTGCACATGTACAGTGGCGCCCCCCATCACGGGTAGCATAATCGACCGTCTCATACGTGTATGCATGCACACCTCTCGTGTCTCGTTCAGCCCGGAACTCACGGCGCTGGTACCTGTAAAGAAGTCGCGACATCCGAGTTCTCTGGCCAGGCACGTCCTACCTGTCGAGCCGAGACATGATCAGTATCATCACTGACTGTTACTCCGTCATGGGGCATGCAAGTCATCGAAAAGATGGGAGGAGTTGGTATTCCCGCCTTACTCAACAAAGAAGGAAATAACTATCTTTCTTCTTAAAAAATTGGGGGGGGGGTAGGTGGAGGGGGGAGGGAATCGTTTACCCGCCGAACCAATATACATAACACCACACATAGTACATAGTCACGCAAAACCTGCAGCGTAGTAGCAATGCCAACTGATGCGGCCACTCTCTCCAAGGCCGTGCATTCACGAATATCATCGGTAGCAGTTTGTGCTAGAAGTTGAGGGCTGATTGGCAGGCAACACGAGACAAGGGTTGGTCTTACTGCCTCGATTTCCGTACCTATACTCGTAAGTAATACAAGTAATAACAATACTAGCAAAAGGTCTGACAAGGGGATGATGGAATGAGAGGCAACGGATGAATCCATTGGAGATGACGAGGTAACAAGGAGTGGAACATAATGAAGAACGAATATTACTCCCTCCGTATATATGATAGAAATCATATAATCAATAACCCCCATGTCGGACATCCCTTCTTCCTCTTGCAAGTGTTCTGTCAGAGGGGTTCACTCGTATATCCGGCAATAGCAATCCGACCAGTTCCCGTAATCAACGACGATCCCTGCTCCGTGGTCAAGGAAGACACTTGAAGAGACAGACAAGAGGAGAGTGAGATCCCCGGGGGGGAGGGGGGGACTGTCGGTGGCGCTTGTTACGTCGTATTGCTTTCCTCTTGATGTCCATGGACTTCCTCTATGTTGGAGTTGATGCTTTTGTAGAAATGAGGCGAGGTCAATATGACGAAGAACAAGGTGATTTTCCCTCTTCTTTTCCTCTCTCTCTCTCTCTCTCTCTCTCTCCCTCTCTCCCTCTCTCCCTCTCTCTCGTCCTAGCACCCGACCCGACCAGTTGGTCAATGCAGATGCAATGCAGATGAAAACTACAACTTTGCCATCTCTCCTTCATTCTTCCCACTGCCCCGATGTATCCCGGGCCTGTGTACTCCGTAGTACGGACAGACGTGAATCCTACGACGTAGCATTGCAGAGCGCTTAGACCAGCCGGTCGACATTAGTAGTCCTGCATGACTGTTATGAGGAAACGTCGCACGTACTACGGCGATAATAGAAAAATCTTTTTTTGAGAGAAAAAAATTTGCAAAGGGAGAGATGAAAAAAAAGAAAAGAAAAATTGAAGTAAAATTCAATGCTGCATATATCAGTAGTTCCAGTAATACTGCAGGTTGCGATGAAAAGGGAAAAGGCTGATACTTGATGTGCATGTAGGACCGTATCAGCTTCCCAAGAGCGCGCTCTATTCCCAGGGCTGGTGAGGCGAAGGGCATAGACCATGTTATCATCATATATGCAATATTAATAATATATTGATATGGGGAAGAGAACAAAAAGAAGAAGGATGAATAAAGAAGAGAGAGAGAGAGAGAGAGAGAGAGAGAGAGAGAATAGAATACTTTTTGGGGGAAATGAAGAAAGGAAGAAATAGGGGTCTTTTTTTTTAATAATAAAAAAACCCCTTCTGAAATAATAAAAGAGAAAGAAGAAAGGCGTCAGGATCAGGACGGCATTTGCCTTGCGTTGCCATCCCCCCCCCCCCCTTGTCGCCGGAGTGGCCGTGACTTTCCTTCCTTGGTCTGGTAGAAGGGCATCAGGTTCACGGTGAAGTGTGAATTGAGAGGAATCATTAGATGGGAGAATGTCTGGGGTGCTCCAATCTCTGGAGAGCAATCTTACAGAGTAGAGATCAGCCCGTACCCTACTCGTACGTACAGATTCCACCCCGAGGCCCTTCGATTGATAGTGACACCCACGGCTTAGCCTCGACTGACATCCCAAGATTACATACTACAGGATGTAACCCTCTTCCAGCCAATGACGGTACCCAACGGGAATATCTCTACCAGGGAGAAAGGAAGGACAGGGTAGTGGCAAATCATGTCGGGGAGAGCGAGAGAGCGAGAAAGAGAGAGGAAGGGGGGGGGAGGGTTTCGGTTTGTTGGGTTTGGGTGATATACGAGGCATCAGGCAAGGACAGGCATTGGACACTGTCCCGTCTAGTCTAGCCTCATGCAATGCGAGACCGAGGGAGCATTACATCTGTATCCCATGACCACTGCTGTCCTGACCCTCTCTCTGCTAGAGGCCCTGGCCAACTGTTGCCATCCGAGTTTCACGTTGCGAACAATCTAACTTGTATTATTCACTCGTAGCTATGCATATACAGACAGGGCTTCCCCGCGTTTCCCCTAGCAGTGGGGACTCTCTTTTTTTTTTCTGGTTCATATTTCGCACTATAATGTATTGCATACAAGGTATTACGGAGTACGAATAACGCAGATGCAAGGACTCGGCAACCTCCTCCTGGGCGGCAACGTGACGACTGGGGGCCGGAGGAAGGGAGGAGGGGAGGGGGTGGGAGGACGGTTTTCTTTTTTTTTCTCTTCTTTCAGATACTCAAGGACTGACTGACTGACTGTCAGCTGCTGATTGTGTATAGACTTGTCAAGGTGACGGGACGCCGCCGGAAAAAGGAGGAACACCTCTTCCCTTTCGATGCACGATACGGGAACCATTTGGGGGGGGGCTTATCACAAGACCGTCTGCTCTTGATGGGTAGCACAGATGGGGCGGCCGCCTAGGGAAAGGGGGGGGGGAGGGAGAAGGGGGAGAAGTTGTTGGGAGATGGATGCAATAATAGCAAGTTCACCGGGAAACTCTTCACCTACAGGCCCGTAGCGGATAATCATGAAAATATCAAATATTACATGGCATCACTAGCTGCTATCTGATCGTATTGCTGGTCAAAGACTAGCACAAGAAGTACAGCTACGAGTCTAGTGCGTATGGAGGTGCGGCACGGCACGGCACGGAACCGGGTCCAGCTCCATGTCTACAGAGAGTCATGACAAGTCTGGATCGCAAAGCTTAGACGTTCTTCCCGTCAGAGGAGAGAAGAGGGGGAGAAAATCACGGGGTACGAACACATACAGGTACGGAGTTGGTTGACGGTCTGTACGGTAAGCAAGTCCTGCTTATCAGGAAGTATCTCGAGCGTGATACTTCTGAGAGTAGCGTCGCAACGATCTACTCTGCCGTCTGTCAACCTTTCTTCCTTCTCTCGGCAAGAGTCTCTCCTCTCTTCTTTCTTTTGGCAGCAAGTGTCAAGATACCTTGTTTCTTTTTTTTTTTTGTAACAATATTCCAGATCCTGCACTCTCCCTTGCATCCCTCCTCTTTCTATCTCTTTCCTTTCGATACTTGACAGCTTGCACTTGCAAGGTAGGCAAGAAAAGAAAAAGAAAAAAAAGAAAGCAGGGGAAGAAGAAGAAGAAGAAAAAGTATAAACTGTCGCTTCCTATTCCCTTGGACAACAAGGGGGTGGCTAGAAAAACGTGGGTTTCATCATTCATGATGTATCTACTGTTAGCAGTAGAGTCTTAGCACGAGGGGTAAGCAACTCATGAGTTTCCCAGCTGACAGTTCGGATTCATCAGCTTATTCCAATGCTCGTGCAGTCAAATAATACTCAACATTCCTTGACCTTGTCTTGAAGGGGGGTTTCCCGGGGGTAAGGGACAGCTGGGACTCTGTATTATCTTGTTCCATGCTGTTGGACCTTTCCTGCAGGTTGTCACCTAGTAACCAACACACACACACACACACATGTATGTATGTATGTACATGCGAGTATATATATATATATGTATATATATATATATATAACAGACCGAAAATGATTTTTTTCAAAATGAAGAATAAATAATGTTCGCAGACGAATCATTTCCTCTTTTAGAAGCTGAGCTGAGGTATATTACAAGGAAGAAGGGGGAGAATTTAAATAATTTAAAATTTAAAAATTTAAAAAAAAAATTTAAAAAAAAAAGAGAGAGAAAGGAAGGAATAAAAAAGTCGTCAGGGTTATGCTGATAAGCAGCATCTTGCTGCCTTTTCTAGCTGAATCCGTCTCGGCTACGAGCGATCCGAGTCGTCAGCTGTCGCCTTCTCATGCGCCTCGACATATGGGCGGATGATACCAGAGCAGGCTGGCCAAT